AGTGGCCTAGTCAAAGTGCAAATCTGAACAGAGACAGTGGACCATGTGTTTGGTTGCTGCAGGACAGGCGGCATCATCCCGACCGTAGCTCAGGCTCTGCACAGAGGAAACATCGAGCGCGTGGTGCAGGAGGCTCTGGACCGGAGCGGCGTGGCGCCGGCCCAGCTGGCTGCTGTGGCTGCCACCGTGAAGCCCGGCCTGGCTCTGAGTCTGGCCGTGGGCCTGAGCTTCAGCCAGCGCTTCGTGAGACACCACAACAAGCCGTTCATCCCTGTCCACCACATGGAGGCCCACGCCCTGACCGTCAGGATGCTGCAGCCGCTGCACTTCCCCTTCCTGGTGCTACTGGTGTCCGGAGGCCACGCCCTGCTGGCCGTGGCGCGGGGCGTCGACGACTTCCTGCTGCTGGGCCGAACTCTGGACGAAGCTCCAGGAGACACGCTGGACAAGGTGCAGATGGCAGTTACCTGGGAAAGTAACTTACTCTGCTGATTACTTGATTTCAAAAGTACGACGGCGTATCAGATCCACTTTAGATGGGAATCAGTACCCTCCAAAAAATAATTTCAGAAACTTTCTGGGGGAGAAAAGGAAATTTCAGAGTGATAAAAAAAAATTGCTAGACACAATCAGAAATGTTGAGATTATCGGAATTTTTCTAAAAAAAACAAACAAAAAAAAGGATATTTCTGAGTTTTGAAAGTTTTTTTTTTTTTTAGAAAATTTTAGAAATCTCAAAATTTCTGTTTCTTATCTGTATGAATGTTTGTATTTCGCTTTTGTTTTATGGGATTTATGGATGGAAATGAGCATTTATCTAAATCCAACAACACTGTACGTTCATTAACATGCACTGGTCAGATTAGGTGTCGTGGTTCTGTTGTGGTTCTGAACCGACGTCAGCTGTTTGACCCTACAGGTGGCGCGCCGTCTGTCCCTGAGGAAACTGCCGCGCTGCGCCGCGCTGAGCGGCGGCCAGGCCATCGAGCTGCTGGCGCAGGACGGCGACAGGAAGAGGTTCTGCTTCAGGACGCCGATGGGACAAACGCCCGACTGCTGCTTCTCCTTCGCCGGGCTGCGGAACCAGGTCACCTTGCTGATCCAGAAGCAGGAAGCCGAGGAAGGTAGGACGGTTCTGGACTTCCTGTGCAGCTTTAGCCTTCCTGACCACAGCGATCCATTTCCAGGCGTAGAGGAAGGAACGGTGCTGTCGTGTGTGAACGACATCGCTGCCGCCACGCAGCACACTGTGGCCTCACACCTGGCGAAGAGGACGCACCGGGCCGTCCTGTTCTGCAGAACCAACCATCTGCTGCCGTCACAAAACCCGACGCTGGTGAGAAACCATCCACTGGGTCCGATCCAATCCAATCCGTTTGTTTTTATTTCATCACATTCAGTTCAGTTAGCTGCCAACCAGAGCATCGAGTTAATCAGTTTAAAAAGTTTCTGAGGAAACCAGCTGAGCATTGAGTCGTTGACACGCAGCAATCACTCCTCCTGACCAGCAGGGGGCAACGGCAGAGAGAGAAACTTCCGTTTGACAGGAAGAAACCTCCAGCAGAACCAGAACTAGAACCGGCTCAGTCCAGCAGCCATTTGCCACTTTGTCAATATCTGCGTTCCATTCACAGTAAAATTATGCAGATCGGAATAAAGAAAATAAATTAGCTTAATTGAAACAAGATTATTTCAGAAAAACTCGTTTTTCAACAGAGTTTTTGCTCTAAGATGAGATGTTTTTTCATCTGTACCAAAATTCACAAAACTACCATAGAAACATTTGTCACATCACACAAGTCACATGTTCAACAACAGAATGTTGCTGCTGGCAGAAGCGACGAAGAAGACGACAGGAAGTGGTGTAAGGATGAAGAGTCTTGAAATTCTCTGCAGGCAAATATTTTATCTGCTGGGGAAGAAAACTGTAACTTCAGAATCAGTATCGGTTATTTAAAAATTAAAAAAGAAAGCTGCAGTGTTTCCATAGCAACCCAGCATATCCATACTTTTAGATTTGACACAGAGGTTTTTCCAGGTGTTGTCTGGAGGTGTTGCCAGCAACCAGTACATCCGTAAAGCTCTGGCGGTCGTCGCCGAGGCAACTGGGTTGCAGCTGCTCTGCCCTCCGTCTCGGTTCTGTACCGACAACGGAGCGATGGTCGCCTGGTGAGTTCTGGTGACCCGGCTGCGGTTGGAAACGGGTCCGGTTCACCTGAGGCGTTTGGTTTCCTCCCCGCAGGAACGGAGTGGAGCGTCTGAGGGAAGGAATCGGGATCTTGGCGCCGGAGGTGGAGGTCAGCTACGAGCCCAGGTCAGTTCCTAACGGGTCAGAACCAGTTCACGTTCTGCTCAGGGCTTCACTTCCTCTCATTCATATTTTAAAGAAAAGACTGTTTACTGTAGATTTTTGGATCATAAAATAACCAGTACATTCTACCGTACTGACCCGGTTCCTGGTGTTAGCGGATCAAACCCTCAGACTGACATGAGCTGCAGGTTCTGACCCGTTCTGCTGGTTCTGCTGCAGAGCTCCGCTGGGCGTGGACATCACAGCCGAGGTGAGGGCCGCCGCCATCAGGCTGCCGTCCATCCGGATCAAGATCCCAGACTGACCGGCAGAGCTCCCTCTGTCCAAACTGTGCAAATATGAGATGTTTATTTATGAATAAAGTATTTTAATATGAAGTTTTATGACTTATTTAAAGGAATCTGATCATAAAGGAATAACTATGAGGTGTGAAGCTTCAGGATCACCAACATTTAATGAGGCGCCGTTTGTAACGTTACATAATCAAAATTGACAGTAATTATTTGGGTTATTTATAACAAAAAAAGGCCTTCATTTTTTTAGTGACATTTTCACTGTTATCAATTTATAAACGTCACAGTTTCAAAGTAGAAATTTAGCTTAACTGAATATTTAGCTGTAAACTAATTGTATAAACTAAACCCAATTAGTCTACAGGATTTAAAGTAAACTAAACTAAACCCTGTAAACTAATTGCGAAATATTTCAAGCTAGTATTCAATTTCGCTTGTCGATAACCGGAAGTTGAGTACCAAAATAAAAACTCAGTCTGGTGAAGCTCTGAACTCCTGCTGGCGCGACTGGCGCGTCTTTTGTTTCGTTTTTTTTCTCAACGTGTGAACATTTCAGCTGTAAACAGTCGTTTCGATATTACAGAAGTTTTACCGATGGGTCTATAGGGTTAGACCCATCTGCTAACCAGCAGGAGTTCATACAAGTTCGCAAGATCCAGCTTTTGTGAACTTCCGGTTATCAGCTGGCGAATTTGAGTACCATAAGTTAAATATTCTGTAAACTTCTGAATTTAAAGCAACAATTCCCTCATTCTGGTATTCGGCTACTAATCTCTTAACTAAGCTGTAATAGGAAAACATTTTTTGTAGAGTGTGACTATTTCTGGTTTTACTCGTAAAAAGACACAGAAATTAATGTGAGTTTTATTCTAATCAAATCAAAACACACGTATTATTTGTTCCACGTTTTTATTTTATAAATTCAGCCTCAGAAGTGGTTTCAAATAAAAAGTTCTACCTGTGGCTCGTCCGCCTGGCAGTTATGTGACCTGTGCACCCTCGTGGTTAGTCCGGGTACTACAGCAGGCTTACATTGGTTCCTACCTTCCCGTTCTAGAACCGTTAATCTAAAGGCATCGATTCTGGACGTGATCCAAACCGATAAAAATCACAGTTACTTAGAAATGTGTGCCACTAAATTAACTTTAAAAAAACACCAGAAGAAGAAGTGTGGATGTAATCTGGGAGCAGAAGTGGTTTAACTCTAGAAAACAGACCAACTGATTCAGTTTCACTTCTTCCCGTTTCCTCTCAAAGAAATCACAGACAGCCGCTACAGCTCATCCCGTTCATATATATTATACTCCTTGGCGCTGATCTGCCCGTCTCGGTCCTGGTCGCTCTTCCAGAAGATGTCGGCCAGGATTTTCTCGTAGAACGGCTCGTCCCGTGGCTTTCCGCCCTTTTCATATTCCAGCTTCAGGTATTCCTTCACCTGGACACAACGGAGCACACCTTCAGGAAGCTCTAACAAACAGCAAAAATGTAACAGCAAACTGCAAAACATGAACCCACTGATTTATCAGAAAGTGAGAAATCATTGGAAGCATTGAGCAACAGGTGTGGGAGGGGCAGAACCACTGCTCAACGCTGCTCCTGAAACACAGGTGTTTCTATATTCAACAAATATAGAACATTTTTTTGTTTTTCTAAAATGTGACGACGTTTTCCCAAAAAAGCGACTAGCAATAAATCTGGCAATGTTTTACAGAGAAAGTGACAAGTGACGAATCTTATAATTTTTTTCAAAAAGCAACTAGTGATAAATCTGCCCACATTCATAAAAGATCAACTATAGACAAATCTAGCAACTTTTCTAAAAAAAAAAAAAAAAAAAGTGAAATCAACCAAGTTGGATCGTTGGAACCAATCAGAAAATTAATCTGCAGTACAACCTTCCACCCAAAGAGGGCAGCACTGAGAAAGCTTTAGGACAAATATTACAGAATTAAGAAAATTTACATGAAAATGTCAATTTACATTGAAACAAAGTTAGAACTCAATCAACCAATTTAGACAGTTTATGTAGGAAATAACTAGATTTGGAGTTTAGTTCCTCTTTAGTAGCTCGAAGCGTTTGGAGAAGGAACGGTTAGAAAATGGAGGAAGGCTCTGCGTTACCTCCGCCTTGGTGAGGCTCCTGTCCTTGTCCAGGTCAATCTGTCCGAAGGCCTCCATGCTGCGGGGGCCTCTGGACACGGACAGCACCTCCACCTCAAACACCACCGTGGCGTTGGGAGGAACTGGACCTTCGTCAGCCGGACACACAAACAAGAACCGCTTTAACCTTAAACGTTTTAAATCGCTCTGCAAAAAACCTGAAATAATCCCAGGAAATGAGTTTCTACTGGAAGGAACATGCATTTTATTCATGAGGAGAAAAAACTAAAGCAGAAATTCGAACCTGGAGTGCAGGAACCATTGCAGCGCCCCCTTCAGGTGGCACAGATACAGCGTTAGTTATCTCAGCCAGCTCCAGCGCATGCAAAGAAAAACCCTCTGAGCATGCTCAGCCTACAGAGGGCGCTGCTGCAAGAGAGGACAAGACAACATGAAGACACGGAGGACGTCCCGGTCCTGCAGGACGTCCACTTCCTGTTCGGCAGACCAACCTTTTCCTGTCGGACCGAACGCCAGCTCCGACGGAACCGTCACCTTCCTCTTCTCCCCGGCGCACATGTCCATCATGCCGACGTCCAGGCCTCTGATGACCTGTCCCACGCCCAGGACGAACCACTGGGGGTGTCCCTGCTTGTCCGACCGGCTGGCACAGAAACAGTCAACATGTTACAGAGTCCGGGCGGACCAGAACCAGAACCAGACTCCAGCTTCAGTTCTTTGAGTTTTTCAGCTCAGATTTCTGGAGGTTTGCAGAATTTGCAGCCAGGAAACAGGAAGGCGCTTTTATTGAGAGGAGTAATGTTTATTATCTTCCCCATCATAAAGCAGCCTGCATCATCCTGGCATGTTATCTCAGCCGCACAGCGCTTTGATCAACTGTGATTGTTTTTTAATTTTTAAATCTGATTTTGATTTTGGGCGCCATTTATAAAGTTACTCAAAAATTAACAATTTGGTTTATTTAGTCTGAGATTAAAAAAAAGAAAATGAAGGTTCATTTTTTAAATTTTTTTATTTAATTTATAAATGTCAGTTTTAAAATTGTATATTTAGTTAGCCAATATTTAGTTATATATTTAGTTAGAACCATAAACTAAATAGCATTTAGTTTATTTTGAAGCTAAATATTTGGTCAGCAAGCCAAGTTACTAGATTCAAATACATATTTAGTTTGAAGCAAAATATCTACTTAGCAAACTAAATATTTAGTCCAGAGATCATTATTTAGCATGCAAGCAAAAATATTTAGCTTCATACTAAATATTGAGTTTGAAGTTAAATATTTAGTTGGCAAGCCCAATTATTAGATTCAAACCAAATATTTAGTAAGCTAAATATTTAAATTCAATATTTAAGATAAAAACATGTTTAGTTAGGAGCTATTTAGTTGGTTAGCTAAATATCGCTAAACAAATATTTTTTGTCAATGAATGAATGAAAATATGACTGAAAAATTGACCCTAATTTTTCCTATTTCACCCCAAATTATTGCTGTTAAATTATGACTGTAACTTTGCAAACCCATATTATTCAGCCCGCTGTTCCCAGTGAGTCTCCGAACCAGAACCACTACGTCTTTAGAGTAAACTGGACCAGTCTCCTGTAGAACCGACCTGCAGTAGAACTGGGAACCATCTTTTTCCAGGAAGCCGTCATAGTGAGCGTTGATCAGGTCTCCCTTCTTGCTCTTCCTGCTGCACTCTTCGGGCCTAAACAGAACCTGGATCTGGACCTGGTCCTGCGGTTCGGCGGCTCCAGCTGCTCCGGCCCAGACGGAACCGAGCTGCCAGCCCAGAAACACGCACACAACGCAGCTCACCAGCCTCCACATCATCCCGCTTTGCATTCGTGGCAACTCCTGAATCTGACGCCTGACGCTGACGCCTGGATGACGTCACAATGACGCTGTGATGCTCGTGGGTTTCTCAGCCCTGCGTTTAGTCTGTCAGGAGCTCCGATATTCTCTCACCTTTCGACATTGCCGTGTTTCATTGACAAACTTAGGCTGTTAGTTTATAGGTTTATGTCTTGAAATAAAAATTTGACAGAAGTTTAGATTAAAAGTTTTACTTTTTGCACATTTAACACCATCATACAACTGGGGTGAACCGCCGGGGGCGCTTCAGTTGGTTTTTATATCCACCCATTCAAATTCAAACTCAGAAATACTTTATTTATCACAAAGGGAAATTAACTCATGTTAAACTAAATGTTGTAACTCATGTTAATTAAAATTCTTCAAAGAGTTATGTAGATAACATCAATCCAAAAAATGTGGCAAATAAATTTAAAAACGTTTGTGTCATTAATGTCATAAAATTATTATTATTATTCTCCATTCAATATCAATGTTGAAGTTAAAACTTAATTTTATGTTCAAATCATATATAATTATTTTTGTATTTATTACAATAGAATAGAAATCTTTATTATCCCGCAAAGGGGAAATCCGGGTCTAAGAGCAGCATCAGGTTGACAGAATTTTTTTTTAATGTTAGAAACATTATATAAAACATACCTCAGCTTATTTACTACAGTTCTATTTAGAAACATAACTGTGAAATTCAGATGGATTGTGGATTCTGACATTTATGTTTCTTGACGCAAAACAGCCATTATTCATAAACATACAATGATGAAATAATTACTTATTTATGTCCTGATTTCAAATAAAACGGGAATTAGATACATTAAATAAATCAAATAATGTATTCATACTTATTTTAGTGTTTAATATAAATATATATATATTTAATATACAAAAATTAATAATGTGGAATTTAATTGGTGTAAAAATCACATGCATTTATTTTATTTTCTAATTATTTTATAATCTTGTGTTGCAGCATATTGTGAATTATTTCATCTGCCATCGGAGCAGACATTAAATTTTATAAGCAACTGTAACACTGGGTCTGTGTTTTAATGTAGTTTTAATATCTGCCAAAAGAGGGCAGCAGTGCACCAGTCTAACACGTGTTTCATAATATGAAGCGGAATTGTTTCCACCAATCAGAGCAGAGGTGGGCGGGGCCAGACGGCGGTATTTATTTGTAGGACAAGTGACTCATCGCCGCCTAGATTCTATTCATTCCGAGAAGCAGCTCCTCCAGACCGACTCGTTAGGACCCACGTTTCTTCCCCACAGCCGGACAGGATTGAGATGTTACATTTCAGGTTCTCCACAGTCCTGAAGGAGTGTTTTCAAGCCACCGTGAAGCGTCCCTTCCCCTGCCGCACCCAGGAGAGCTGGTACCCGGCGTCCCGGCACCGCCGCTGCCTCGGTTCTGTCCCCAGTGATGTTGCTGCTGCCGCCGCTGTTGCCACACCGCACCGCACCGCGCCCTGCTCCGCACCTCGCCGCTCATACTGCGTAAAAACAGAAGGCGCAGCTACCGTGGAGCTGGATGACCACCTGAAGAAGGATGGGGCCGAAGGAGACAAGTACGTTTGCTAGGTTTTCTCTCTCACGGGGGGAGGGGAGGGGGGTATGCTGGGGGTCACGGTGAGTCATGACGCACATGAGCGGATGCGGGGTCCTTTCACCGCCTGAATAAAAATGTCATGAATAACCCGTAAAGCTGCTTCCTCCCAGTTGGAATATGTACATATGGTGGCGTCCGACAACATGAAACCATCAGAACCAGTGTAGGCGGTGGTAACGCGGACTGGAGGCGGTGTAACGGCCTGTCCCGGATGGCCGCGGCAGCGGTGCTATCCGGTGACTGCTGTTCATTTCTGTCTGGAGCTTCATATAAAACCGCAACACGTTGAATTAACCCCATTATGGCTCCATCTGGCCAGTCATAGCGCTTATTACCCCCAGCGTGTTCCTGCTCTGATGGCAGCACGCCGCTCTGAAGTCAGCCTGCGATTTGGAGCTTGGATAAAGGGCTATTACACAACATTTTATGAGTTTAAAATCTAAAATACATAAACGGATTGAACCTGGACTGGATTATTACACGATTATGATGGATTTTATTAAAAAACTATTTGTTATATGTAAAGTTTGTAATAATTATTTGACGTCTAAATGCACTGATCCACTGTTTTCACTTCCAATATTGATCTGAAGTTTAGCATTAGCTGATGCAGGAAAAACAGCTGAACTGACTTAAAACATTTCTTTTTGTAAACGCAGACATAAAGGTACTGAATTAAAAAATGAATTTGATAACTCATACCAATAGCTTCACAATCTAGGTCAAACTCTTAAAACAACACAACTTTAATTATTTCAGCCAATAAGGAGGATAACAGTCGGCCTGTCATCATAACAAGCTTTACTGGACCATAAATCATCGTTATTGCTTATTGAGACCATTTTCAAGTAAAATAATGTTAATGTCAAAATAATGCAAAAGCACGTGTTCAAAATCAATCATTTTAAATTCTAATGAACATTTAACACTGGAATTTAAATATCCAAAATAAATAAAAAGAACAGAAATGATAAATAATGAATTATGAAATATCTGTAAACAAACTGAGAGCAAAGGTCCAGACCAAAAACTTTATCATCAAGTTTTTAGTAGAAAGAGAAAAACGAGTCATGTAAATGGAAATTATTAATTTTGTTTCCATTTATCACAATTTAATGATTTATTGATTATTGTGACCGGTCCAGACAGCAGCCAATGGAAGGTAAATAATAAAGAAACTGACAAAAACCTTTCAAATGGTTCAGAAAGTGCTTCAGATCTGGAACATTGATCTAGAAATGTTTTCAATATTGGGACCAATACAGATATTGATGATGGTATTACCTGAATTCCTAGAAATAAAAGGGAATCTTCTTAGGTCAGCAGCTCCACTCAGACCAGTTAATTTAAATGTTTCCCAGCCCTGATCCTCTTCAGGTGTTTCCTGCTTCAGCTCACCTGAGTTAGACTGACGGCTGATTGGCCGACGTCTGCAGGTGTGTTAAAGCATCTGAAAAACACCTGAAACATGCAAGATTGTTTATAAGCTACAAATTAATTTTCTCTTTCTGTGTAAACTATAACACAGCAGCATTTTTAAATAGGCCTGTCGAAATAATCAAATCAATCACATGATAGATTAAAACAAACTCACTTTAATTTTCTTGATTTATTGTTGTTCTCTTTCTACCAAAAACTGGGTGGTAATTTTTTGTTTAGAAACTTCACAATTCATTTTGTTATCTCTATTTATTTTGCATGTTTAAAAGTCTAATCTGAATGTTTTAGATCTACGGTCCAGATTTGCTCTGAATCAGATGCGGACTTCACGTCTGCAACGTGGAGTAGCAGCTTAAACTTGTGTGTGTGTGTGTGTGTGTGTGTGTGTGTTGCATGGTGAGAAAAATGAAAAGTATGCGAGTCAGTATTTATTCTGTTCCTGAGGGCGTGTCGGAGGATTTTCCTTTTCCTTTTATTCTGATTTTACACACTGACAAACTAAAAGGAAACTTTTAAAAAAATCTTATTTAACTTTTTTAAAATCATTTTAATGCCTGAATAATTTAAAGGTCAGAGTTTAAGTTATGAAAAGTAGCTACAATAGATAAATAGATTTTATCTTTTTCAGATAAAATCTAGAAAAGGGCTTTAGAAAACAAACAAGTAGTTTTAAAAGATGGCAAGAAAATCTGTGAATATATTAATTTTTTTTATTATTTTTATTGCATTTTACTGTAAAATTGGATCCAAGCCTTTAATCTCTTCTAATTCCAGAATATTTAAAGAGGCAGTGTCATGTAAAATCCATTTCTTTGTGTTTTAGCGTTTCATCATGTTTTCATGTTTTTCCCTGGAATTTTGTTTTGATTCTTTCATGTTGGAGAAATAGTTTAATCTCCATGGCAACCATTTAGCTGCTAAACACCTGGGTGGACCTAGCCCCGCCTTCCAGGTGCAGCTCCGCCCCCTCTCTGCTCCTTCAGACTAGCCAGCAGCAATTAGCAAACAACTGCTGAGCTCATTATAGGAGCTGCTGCTCAGAGCAACGCTGGTAAAAACATTAAAGGGTTAACAGAGGAGGAGCAGGAGTTCTCAGAGAGACAATTTTAAGGCTTTACATCAGGAAATCAAATTTCTTTAGTCATATTTGATATAAACAGCATTTTAATGACAACTGAAGGAAACAGTTTCTTTATTAAGCTGTAAAGTGGGGAACATATGACGCTGCCCCTTTAAGACCAAATGTCCAGTTGTTGTAGAATAATCTAGTCCAGGTTTGAAGAATCTGAATGTTTGGTGTATCTGAGCTGGAGCTTCTGTTGTGTGATCCCGATGAAAACACCAAACTTCAGAAATCCCAGATTAGATTTTAAATATTCTGCCTTTAATAATAATCTGGTCCCAGAGTTTTTATCGCCGATGTCTTCATGTCCGTGGCCGGCTGCGCCTCCCCCTCCTCTGCTGGTTTCCAGGTGACCGCCGAGTTCCTGGGCTCCATCCGATCTATTTGGACACGTTCTGGATGAGCTGGTTACCGTGGCAACGCGTGGAGTGTTTACTCTGCTGGGAGTGGAGAGGAGGAGCAGAGCAGCGTTGCATTCTGGGAAATGTGCAAAGCGTGGCAAACTGCTGCTGCTGCATGGTGGAAAACATGAGAGGATTCTGATAAAACAGGAAAGTTTCCTGATCGATAACAGAAACTTATAAAACCAAATCAGTAAATACACGATGGACGATTGATTACTTTAGTAATCGATTATTCTAATGATTAATCGATTAATCTGATTTTTTAAGTTGGTTATTCTGCAGATTTTTCATCTGACCATGGAAGCTTTTCTTATATAATATTAAAAATGCAAATAAATAATCTGATTCCTTTATTAAATGATAAAATCAACATTTTGTTTTCTAAAAGTCAATAACAGATCAAAGGATCAATCTGCAGCTTCTGACACCAACAGGAGAAACTAAAACTGAACATCAATACAGAGATAATAATTGATTAACTGATTAATAACTGGACAGAAAAATGTGATTAATGGGAGATTATTTCCAGAATCTGAAAGTGACCCAGATGGATCCAGTAGAACAGGTTTTCAGACTAAAAGCGTTCTTTCATCTTAAATTTGAAATGTTTATATTTTTGTTCACTTTTGTTTAATTTCTGCTCTGAATGTTTTGTTCTTTCAGCAAATAATGTTTTACAGTTTGTGTTACTGATTAATCGATTAGTGGACTACTTGAGTAGTCGATGAATCACGATCAATCGCTGCCTGACAGCAGCTGGTGGCTCTGAGGTATCGGCTCTGGTTGGTGCGCTGAACCGATCAATGATCTGTAGGAAAATCTGCTGATTATTTATTATTGATTTTGTAAAATTGCAGAATGTCCTGGTTTGGCAGCAGTGTGGCGATACTTCAGAGGCAGATAAAATCGGTTTCTCATGTCCATATCGGTTGATTCCTGATTTATTGGAGTGTTCTTATTCTCTGTTTCAGTTTCAGATTTGTCATTTTCAGAGCAGAAAATGTAGTTCTAGATCCGCTCCGATGGTTTAATCCCCTATAAACAAACCGATCGGCCTTTTTGTTTTGGAAACTGCTGCCTGCATTGCTGCTCTGCCTTCCTGCTCTGACTCTTCAAAATAAGAGCACAACGCAAACAGGTTCTATCGATGAGCTCAAATTTACAGAACATTTTTATTATTGTCGTTTTTAAGATCATTTGGAAGTAAAATTGGAAGTGGATGATAAATATGATTAATTACACGCCTGTAGTTTTTACTCAGGTTGGATGGAGAATATCTGAGAAAATCAGGTTTCTTTGACTAGGCCGTTTGATGCATGACTATGATCTCCTTCAAACCATTTTATTGTGGTTTTATGCAGGACTGAAGCGATTAATCGGTTTAGTTGAAATACTAGTAAACTAATGTATAATAATAAATCTTAATTTATATAAGAAAAAAATAATAGTAAATAAAAAATGAAAGGCTATTTGGTAATCGATTAATTGTTATCTGGAGAATCAGACTCAAAAATGGCTATTTGCTGGAAAATATCTATCAATCAAATGTTTTCATTGCATTTATTATTTACCAAAAATCATATTAAATGTTTACCTGCCAACTTTAAATAAAACTGAGCCGTTTAAGGCAACATGCGTTTCTTCTATTTAAAAATAGAATTTAATTATTTGTTTATTTGCATCTTTTAATGTATTTTTTACCTTAGAAAAGGTTAAAGAGGTTAAATGAAAAATACAATTAATCATCAGAATCACTGAGCTGTAGCTCTAGTTTTAAATTTGCTCCAAAATAAATTACTTTAGAGTATTAATGTGTGCAGACGAGAGCTGGATGAACGCATGAATGGGCCAGCAGCCATGTTGACTTTATTAATCCGCCTGCAGCAACGAGGAATCTGTGGAACGCAGAACCAAACACTGGAGGCAGAAATACCATCTGATCGGCCTGGGAGCAACCGCGAAGGTCGATCGGGGGAACCGCGAAGGTCGATC